TGTGTGTGTGTGTGTCTCGCTCATCAGTTATGCCTTTACTTTTTAAAAGTCGGGGTCATGCTCTCTTCAGCTCACTCTTATTGAAGAGCACAATGACTTCAACACAGACACTACTCTGTACTCAGTTGGCCAGTCCTTGCAAGGGAGCAAAGCTCTTCCTTTTCCATCAAAATCAAAACCCTCAGGTTTAGGGTCCCAGTGAGAAGATGCTTTTTAAGCTTTTCTGGATCACAGAAATTTTGAAAATCTAATTACCACTTTACCAACAATGCCTTTTTTTTTCTTTTTTTTTTCCATTAGAATTCCAGTGTCCTTTCCTGACTGATGTGAAGCTGAGAGCCTAAGAGCTTTTGTGACAGCATGGCAGAGGTCTTGGTCTGTCTGCTAGAAGCATCTTCAGGATCCACTATTTTCACACCCAGACTGCTTCTCCTCTATCTGTACATAGAATATTCGGGTTACAACTGCTGTCTATAACTGGCAGTTGGCTACAAACAGAACGGGGACTCCACCCTGTTTTTCAAATACTCCTTTGTATCTGAAGGTTTGCTGGGGATCAGTAAGGTTAATAGCAACATTTATCTAAAGATGGGATGTGTAGTGTCAGCCCCCTTAGCTGGTGAAGCCTGTGTCATGTTCTCATTGTCAGTCAAACTTAATTCAGCCAGCATTCACAGTGACTGGTATATACCAAGCACAACTCTCAAAATGACCAAGACCCCAGAGAGTTCATTGGCTAATGCCACAATAGACATAATACACATCAGTGTAACAAAACATTAGGTGCTAAGTCTGAGGGACACACAAGGTGGAGGCCCAGAGCAGGGGCTTCCTCATTGGACCATCCATTAGCAGGAGAGACTGGCCGGCAAACTGCTTACAAAGTTAGACACACTCAGAGAAGCTAAATTCTGAAAACTTGTTTTTGTGATGTTACAGTTGTATCTGAAGCCAGTGAGGGAGACCAGTCAGAGGAATTTAATCTAAGAAAAGCAAGTATTATGATTTATTTGGCTGGGGCTTGGTTTTGTTTTGTGTTTTTTATTGTTTGTTTTGTGTTTTTTGTTTTTGTTTTTTGTTTGTTTGTTTTTTCTGTCAGTGGTTTTGTTTTGCTTTGCTTTGTTCTATTGTTTTTGGATTTGTTTACGTGTGTGAGTATTTTGCCTTCATGTACATAAGTGCACAGGAAGAGATCACTGGATTCAGTAGAACTGGAGTTCTGGACAGTTATAAGCTACTATGAGGGTGCTGGAAACTGAACTTGAGCCATTTCTTCACATGCCCCTTTAAATATCTGTGTGTGTGCTCACACACACATGTGAATACAGGTGCCCTCAGAAACCAGAGAACTCAGATCCCTGTAGGGCTGGAGTAACAGAGATCTGTGGGCCACATGATATGGGTCTTGGGAATCAAAGTTGGATCCTGTGGAAAAGCAGTGCATGCTCATAACCAATAAGTCACCTCTCAAGCCCTTATAACAAGATAAAACTCAGAATTAGTTCTAAAAATTAAGAGCATTTAGATGTGTCTTCGCCCTAGAAGGAATCCAGAAACGATTTTATATGTATTTTAAAACAAATCTAGAAATTATTAATAAAAATTATGGTGCTTCTAACCTAAACTGTAGAGAAACTCGTATGTGAACTTATGAGATAAGATTCTCCAGTCTTGAATTAGAGGAGCAAACTATAACTCTTGGTAACTTTGACAATATTTGTTTAAAAAATAAACTAAACTAAAATTTGAAATGATATACTTTTTGAAAAGTAAAAACTAATTCACAAAAGTAAAACACATTAAATAATTTATCAAGAAAAGGATAGAATTCATAAATAAATTTAATACAAAAATATTCAAAATTTAGAGTTAAAAAAAGGTACATAATCCATAGGCACAAAATACATTTATTTAGACAAATAAAAAAAATTGGAAAATCATTTCCTATGAAAGTCTAGGTTGTCAAAAAGTATACCCAGAAGCGGAAAAAATGAATTTCACAGAAGAAACTGAAAAAGACTGCTGAGAGATTGATTAGACCAAGAGATTTCCGTGGGAAGATTCTTTCAAACAAAACAACAACAACAAAAGCCATACTACCGCCATATTAAACTTTCCAAATTCCGTAAGTTTAGTGAGAACCCCCGTGTTTGTTATGTGAATCTTCATGTCACTAGTAAGCTGTCCCATTCCGAAGAACAACGTACAGGACCTTCATGTGGAAACGGCCCATGGAGAAAGTGCAGATGGGCCAGCCTGTGTCTGGACCACCGTTCAGCGTTGGGAAGCCGCAAATCCCACCAGAGATATGGACTTTGACTCCTCAAAAATCCATTTTGGTTTTGAACAATTGAAATTTGAAAAAAATGTTTTGAATTCAAAAATTCTTTTGAAAAATATCAAGAATGAAGTGAATCTTAACCTCAACTGTCAAAACAGATTGTAAAACTAGTCAATAAATCAATGGATAGAATTAAAAAGTGCCTAAGCAAGCCTGACAATTGGATTGAAATTTAAGCTAGAAAAGTGTCATTTCAAATTTACAGAATAAAATAAAATAGTTAAGAGGTAATTTCTGATCTACTGTGGAACTGTCTGGAATAAAACATAACTTCAGTCCTTCCTGATATGTCATTCTAAACATAGTTAGAAACCCAAATGTTTAATAATAATAATAATAATAATAATTAGTAATAATAAACATAGGGACTGGAGTGGTGGCTCAGTGGTTAAGAGCATGCGCTGCTCTCCCAGGGGACCTGAGTTTGACTCCTAGCACCTACCTGAGGTGGCTCTCAGATGCCTGTCACTCTAGCTTCTGGAAGATTCAATTCCTCTAGCCTCTGACACCTGTACATAAAAAAACAATTTGAATTTTTTAAATAATAAAATAAATCATGGACAAATATTGATCTTATCATGGTATAGAAAAGTTTAAACCCTATTTCCTATGAATAAAATGGAAGGGAAGGGAGGGAGGAGGAGGGCGTGAGAGGACGATGCTCGGGAGCAACCACCCTCTATGTCAAGGATGCTTCTAGAAATAAATCCATCTAAATAGTAAAGACAAATAATAACTGGATAGAAATAATGGAAATATTGGAATAATGGAAACCATTCACAACCTGCAACAGAAAAGTATACCCTCACAACAAGCTCCTACAAATCTGTAAGAAAAACTAAAGTATTGCTTAACAAAAGAACAAATGTCACAAACCAGCAATCAGCAAAAGGTGAAAAGCAAGTGGCATGTAGACATTGGGGGAATGTTCAGCTTTAATAACCAAAGAGAGCCAAGTTCAGACAAGGTATCACACCCATGTAATCTCAAAACCGAAATACTCAAAGATCAGCGGAACTACTTCTGAGTAACTACAATGGAAAGGGCTTCAAAACCCAAAGAAGATTTATATTCTTTTAAAAATTTATTTTGTTATTATTATTTAGTGGGGGAATAGTGTGGGTGGGTGGTGTGCCACAGAGGGGATGTGGAGGTCAAGGACAACTTCAGGGACATAGTTCTGTCCTTCTACCTTTTTATGGGTTCCGGAGATTGAACTCAGATCATCAGACTTGAGACGCAAGTGCCTTTACTCACTGGCAACCTTGTCAGCCCACAGTCACCCTTTTGATTCTGGTTTCCACCTCTTAAACTTTAGACTAAGAAGATGACCAACGAAGCTCATGAAGACAGGCATCCAAGAATATGCTTTACTGGGTTATTTCAGTCTTCTTCTTTCTCTAGGATATACACCAGGGCCTTGATTACATAACCTACAATATTTTTCAACCCTCATTAAAATTTTTATTATACATTATCTCATGGTGCAGAAAAATGTTCCAGGTAGCTATTAAAGAATATGTTGCAAAATAATATATATTACATGTTTGAAAATGTTAATCGTAAAATTTGTTGCTTAATGTCTGCCTTATTCATTGGCACTCCCTAGATTTCTGCAAGTTAGAAATTTTGGAAACACTTTGACAAGATATCTTCACCCAAAATTCATTTGAATCAGAATCTCTGTGGTCCTTTTTAGGGCTTTAGTCTAATTTCTGCTAGTGACTGCAATGTGCAGTCAGCATCCAAACTCCTCCGATGGTTCTAATCTGGGCTGTTCTGCCCGCAAGGACATTCGGCAACTTCTGGCAACGTGGTAGGAGACTCAGTTCTATGGGCTGATCTGTGTCCCTCAGAAGGTCCTTCAGTGTAGTCACCAGCAACCCCATGTCCTCATGACATAGTTATCGGGATAATTGCTTTTCAGTGATGAAGCTGAAATGAAGGCTTTAGGATGGGACCTGATAGAAGAGACACAGGGGAGTTTTCTTTGTAGATGCCATGCAAGGACAACAAGAAGAGGGCCTTCCACAGTCCTTGAGAGAGGTCTCAGGAGAAACCAGCTGCAGGCACTATGATCATGGCCTTCCAGCCTCTGAATGGAAAGAAGATTCCTTACTGCAGCTAGTGTCCTTCTGGCCTGAACTCATGTCCCCTCATCTGCTTTCACACAGACGAAGGACCTTCTCCATGAGGACACCAGCTGACCAGTTCAACAGCGTTGGAAGCCCGGCCTCTGCTGCCCCCGACTCTGTTGCCTGCCTGTGGGTCCCATGGCCCTAACTGGGCCACCTTGTCTGGCCTCAGTGACTTGGTTTGCTGGATGAGTGTGGGAGGAATGAGGGGAGTGATAACTAGATGGAGAGGTCCCCCTTCTCAAAGGAGGAGGGAGGAATGGGGGAGAATCTGTGTGAGGGGGTACTGGGAGGAGGGGGGTGCTAGGTTTCAGGTGAGAGAGTCAACAAGTAAGGCAGGACTCAGCAGTGTGGATAGGGCTCAGTAGTGTGGACAGGACTCAGCAGTGTGCACAGGACTCAACAGTGTGAATAGGACTCAGTAGTGTAGACAGATAGAACTCAGCAGTGTGGACAGACAGGACTCAGTAGTGTAGACAGACAGGTCTCAGCAGTGTGGACAGGACTCAGCAGTATAGACAGGACTCAACAGTGTGGACAGGACTCAGCAGTGTAGACAGGACTCAGCAGTGTGGACAGGACTCAGCAGTATAGACAGGACTCAATAGTGTGGACAGGAGTCAACAGTATGAACAGGGCTCAGCAGTGTGAACAGGGCTCAGCAGTG